AATATTGAAATATAAAAAGGATATAAAATCTGATGATTCGGACAATGAAAGCGCACCACTAAAATCTGTTTTTCGTGCATATGAAGATGCAGATGAATGGAGTCCTGTATTGAATTTATTATCCAATGAAGAGTTAGAAAAGATTAGATTGGATCAAGAAAGGGATATAAGGTATGCTTTCGAACAAATTTTTTAATTGAGACGTCATATATGCAATTCGTAACCCTATCTTATCGTTCTTGGATAATGTAGACGGATGCGAAGAGCAACCACGCGTAATATTGCAAGATCAAAACCATCACGTTCAACGGTAACCAATGGAATTGACCATTCATCGATTTATATAAATCAGCGGACTCGAAACGACACAAAATTAACGTTAGATGAATTGGAAGTTTGGAGGTGCATGCACTGTGGCATTGATGGCCACACTACACCTTTAGTAAGGAAAGGCCCAGATGGTGGCAAAGTTTGTATCTTTGTAATTACCATTTTTTTTAATGAACACTATTATAGTTGCATTTATTAACATTTTCCATTGCACTCTTTTAAAGTCACTTTGTAATGCGTGCGGTTTAGTGTGGTTAAACAAAGGCGAATTGCCACCACACCGCAAGTCGATGTTCAAAAAGGATGAAATATGAGACCTTAAAACCTAATTATGGATTTGCAATACCATTTCATTCTTGAAATTAAGCAAAATGTAGAAAAAACATTAAATCCCATGTATATATGTAAATATTAATTCCGTTATCGACTTTATAATGCATTTTTACTTATTAAAAATTTTACCTACAATTAAACTTCGATTTTTTATTATTATTTATTGTTACATGTAATAGTTTAATATTTTATTACCAAAAAATATGCATGGTCACTTGGTTAATTTAACACGTTTTACAAATTCACTATAATTAAATTTTTTTCCTTTTAATGTAGACTTAACTATTAAACAATCAAATTATTTTATTTGAGTTTGCGATTACTTCTTAAACGGCCAATCAGTACAAAAAGAATAATTGTATATCGAGTAATATATTCTTTAGCATAGAAAAGTATCGCTTGAGAAAGCACAGCTTTTGTGATCTGTGCTTGTATTCCCTGTTAAATAAAATTAATAAATAAGATAAATAGAAGAAAATACATGGCTTTTTTTTTTTTTTTTTTTACCTTGTACCATCCCAGGAACCCATCAGTTTTTAGGATGTTTAGCAGTATACCAATTGCACCTTTATTTTCAACACTATTAGCTTTTCTGTTTTGACCATCAACGTCAAACGCTTGCTTATCTCCTTCGTCCTCAACATCGTCAACGGCCACTTTGTTTTTTGATGGTTTCCATTGTAGCCTTACTTTTGCCATAATGTATGGGTAGGTAACCACAGTAGCAATAGTTTTACTGAGGGCACCCAGCCAGAAGATTAGGCCAGGTGTAAGATTAAAGTTCCTCTTTAGCATTATATCTTTGAATCTCTCGAAAGCACCATAAGTTATAGCAGGGTTGATACATAATACCAATGATGGCCCTAGTCCTTTCCACAATCCAGTGATTCCATCTTCGTGAGTAATTTCTTTTGCAGTATTTATAAGGCTTTTACGTTCATTGATGCTCGAAGTCTGTTGGCGTGTAGTTACAACAGACACAGGAATTGTAAAAATTTGGGCAAGTGCACCTGCAAGGGCACCGATTATGAGCTCTTCGGCGGTAGATAAAGAACTTGTAGAACGCGCTTGTTGATAGCGAGTACGAATGAAAGAATACCAATAAAAATATGTAAAGTTTGTCGAGGCTACTCCGATAAGACCAGAAGGTAATCCCGTATAAAGCCCAAGTATTCCTTCGGCCTTCAGTATTTTATGAATCGCATCTATTGTTGACTCGTAGTACTCATCACATATACCTTTTGTTTGCACTTGAAGTCGAGTTTTTATGCTGTTTGATCAACAATGATAATATAAATATCAAGTAAATATCTTCAAAGAACACAAAAAACTTGAGCATTCTTAATTTGAAAGTATTTAATAATACCCTCTGCAACAAAATAAGGAATACCCACATATCCAATGGATAAGTTATAGATAATGCGAATATAGCGCCCAAAGATCCGGCGACTGCATTACCAAGTGGTGATAATGGTGGTGGTTGAGTTACTTTTGCCATAACGATAATTGCTCTGGTTCGATTTTAACTATATAATGAAGTACGTACGTACGTATGTATGATATCAATATCTGATATAGAAAATTTTAATTATTGATATCTTTGTCCTACCAGGTGCAGATTATCGAACTAAGATTTTCTGAAATCTCGCTTAACGTTTAACAAGTCGATTTGATCTAAAGTGGAGAGCAATTCAAGTCATGAACATGAGTGACTCGAGAAATTTCACCCGCTCCACATGTGAAGGTTATAATCACGCATTTTGGTTAAAGTTTTTTTATCTTTCGCAATACTTGGCTGCCTGAAAAAAAGGCTTTATTTATTTGTGCAGTAATTGGACCCGGGTGGGTGCCACCTGGGTCACCCACCCGTTGTGGAATAGATTAGTGGGCCACCAAAAGTAGATTCTATCCGAACCGCGCGATGATCTGCACAACTCGGCCAATCAGCGTGGATACATCTATTACCGTATTTCGCCATAGAAAGTACCCGGGGTATCTTACTATGTAAACCGGTTTTTCTTGATTTATACCCCCCGGGTATACTGTATAGCGGAGGGTATACTATACGGGGGATCTTGTGTATGGGGGGTACATAATATAGAACAATTTGTCTGGTAAAAGACCCCTCCCCCGAGTTTTGATTTATATATGTCGCGAATATGAAATCTTATTTAAATTTGTCGCGTTTTAACAATCAATCCCCAAAGTTTAACCCCCAAAGTTTTTAACAGTCAATCCCCAAAGTTTATAACAGTCAATCCCAAAGTTTATAATAGTTAATTTTCAAAGTTTTTATAGTTAAAATATAAAACAAATAGGATATATACCTATGACAAGACTTCAAATAAAAAAACGTCAATAGACAGCACGTGAAAAACTTTATATTCTTACATACCTTGATAGATAGCAGTAGGGATTTTAGTTGGTTTGTTCGATTCTATTCATTAATTAGTTTTTTTTTACAATAAATGTACAACCAGAGTTCCAGGTGTTACTATTCGTGGTACTGCTAATAAATTTGGAATTCAGCTGAAACAAATACGAGATTGGTGTAGTAAAAAGCAAGAGCTTATGTTTGCACAACCTCATATTAGGCATTTAAATAGTGGCCTATGGCCTGCTTATTCTGAACTTGAATTAGAACTTGTTACATGGGTTAAAAATTTACACAGTAATTTAAAAGCTGTTAGTCATTCTATGATACAAGCAAAAATAGCTAGTTTAGCTAGTTTGCCCCAAAATACAAATCGGTTTTCTCATATTAGTTTATTTACATAGAGTAATAAATGGTTGGATGGTTTTATGCATTGTTATAAATTTAGTAATCATCGTAGAACTACAGTTGCGTAACATTTACCTGCAGATTTAGAGACTAAACAACAAGAATTTTTAAATCTTATTTAATATTATTATATTCAACATGATTATTCATTATCATTAATTAGAAACATGGACGAAACACCACTTACTTTTGATATGCTATTTAATATGACAGTTGATACTATAGGAAGTAAGACAGTTAGTATTAGAACCTGTGGACATGAAAAATCTAGTTTTACTGTAGTTCTTGGTTGTATGGCGGATAGAACTAAATTACTGCTAATGGTTATTTTCAAATTAAAAAATATTCCATGGTTTAGATTTCTACCAGGCATAATTATTCGTGCTAATGAAAAGGGTGAATGAATACAGAGGAAATGATTTATTGAATTGACTACGTATAGAATTATCGTACACCAAACGCTGAAAATCTACAATCATTACTTGTTATGGATTCTTTTCAAGCACATATAGTCACTCCTGTTAAAAATCGTATTTTAGATAAAAATACTAACCTCGTTGTTGTTCCTGGAGACTTAACGCCAAAAGTTCAACCTCTTGACGTTGCAATCAATAAATCGTTCAAGTCAAAGGTCTATTTTTTTATTTTATTAATTGATTTATTTATAAAGATTTAATTTTATTTTAATAGATTAGAAAGTTTTATAATGATTAGATGTCTCAAGAAATAAAAAAATTAACTCTAACTAGCAAAATTCAACATTCCGCATATAATATTATTGCTAAATGTATTAAAAATACATAGGATTCTGTTGATACACAGCTTATTCAATGTTCTTTTAAATATTGCAGTGTGTCAACTATGATGGATGGATCTGAAGAAAACATGATCTTTGATTATGATAGTTTAGGTAATTATGATCATGATAGTATTATTTATATAAATTAATTAAAGTTATTGACTATAATATTCTATACAGACAGGTTTGAATATTATGAAACTAGTGACAATGTTTATAATAATGAAGAAGTTTTTGAAGAACCTAATTTTGTAGTTCAACAAGATCAAGCACCCTTTATAACATTTAATGAAAATCAAGAATATAATGAGTTTGAATCATATTATATTTTACAAGAAGCAGGCAATTATATAAACTGGTGAGATTAAATTTTATATTAGGTATAAATTCAATTTTTAAGTTTTGCAAACATAAATCGATAATTATATTAAAATATTTATTATAAATCAATAGTTTATAGTGAACTTTATAATATAGTTTTACAATATAGTCGTAATGAAAATTTACGAAACTACCTGAAAGCAAATTTTATAAAATTGCAAAAAGTAGATAAATTATATATTACTAAAGAAATAAGCTTTGATTATACTTGTTTTTAAATAGCATCATTATTGATAATAAAATAAATATTATTTAATATTTATATTGCAATGTAGATGAGAATCGAAAGAGCTTTAAATGTATCATTGAATTCTTTTAAGTAATAAACTGGTAATATACCCGGTCTTGTATTAAAAATACAGGTTATAAACCTGGTAATATACCCGGTATAAATCAAGGGGGGTACAGTCAACCAGGGGTACTCTACAAGGTGAAATACAGTACCAAAAAGATATTAGATAAAGATCCATGCTGTCTGATGATCTAAGCATACTTGATCAATCAAAATCTTCCTGTACATCGGCTTACATAATGTTTTTGATGATTGACCAATCAAATCACAAAGTTTTGATCATCTCAGATCAGCCTGATGAACAAAACAGCACTTTGGAGTATTAATAAAAAATGTTAGAAGGGAGATTAACCTCATCTATTCTAAACCTAATTATTATCATTAACTTTAGGTAGCTGTTTCACAAAATTTTTTTCACCCCCTAAAATTTTGGCCAATCAAAATTTAAGATCAGGTGTAACGTAATAGTCAAAACAAAAATATTATTTTTTAAGTAAAAAAATATATACAAAATTAAATTTAAGAAAACTATGTTATGATTAGGGTTATAATTAGAAAAATATAATAGCTATTAGTGGAATTTCACAAGAAATATTTTTAATTAGGTCACAGAAGATGGTTTTCTAAAAAAGTAGTCTATTTCAATTTTTATATTACACCTGATCTTAAAATTCGATTAGTCAAAATTACAGAAGATGAAAAAAATTTTGTGAAATAGCTAGAGGCTTTGATAGCTAGGAGATTTTATATTGACCAGAAGTAAAATTGTTACCCAAAAAAGTTTTAGACATCACATGGCAGATATATAGAATACTAAAAATTTATATAACAAACAAAAAAATACAATCAAAAAAAAATTTAAACTAACAAAATAATAAATTTAATAAATGTAATCTAAAAAGTATTATTACTAGGTATCAGGTGCTAATAGATGTTCAAAGTATTATATTATTGTATCAAACAATTTAATTGGGTATCATATTTTTTTGTTTTTTGGAGAGATCTGCAAAAATATGTAGTATTATTTGAATCAGAAAATTGATTGGCCACTATTAACAGATATTGCATAATTTGAAATAGATATAGAGTCCTTTATTACGCTTTGGACAATTACAGGTTTTTTTAAATATTTGGAATATTTTATTGTTTTTTAAAATAATTATAATTCTTCTTCAATTTATACAATAGCTTAAAGTTTTTATTAATACTATTTTTTTATTAAGTTTTAATCACTAGATAGAGTGAAAAGTACATAAAGTATATTTAATAATTTGAATCTAACAGTCTGCAGTTACTTTAAAAAGCATTTACAAGTGATTAGCTATACTAAACAGACATATCCATTTGAATACATTTTGATAAGTTT